ATGCCACATGGGGGAGTAATCTATTATAACACATGCCACATGGAGAGTAGTCTATTATAACACCTGCCACATGTGGAGTAGTCTATTATAACACATGCCACATGGGGAGTAGTTTATTATAACACATGCCACATGTGGTGTAGTCTATTATAACACATGCCACATGTGGAGTAGTCTATTATAACACATGCCACATGTGGAGTAGTCTATTATAACACATGCCACATGGGGAGTAGTCTATTATAACACATGCCACATGTGGTGTAGTCTATTATAACACATGCCACATGGGGAGTAGTCTATTATAACACATGCCACATGGAGAGTAGTCTATTATAACACATGCCACATGGGGAGTAGTCTATTATAACACATGCCACATGGGGAGTAGTCTATTATAACACATGCCACATGGGGAGTAGTCTATTATAACACCAAAAAGAATGGGTGAAATACATCTCAGTAGTAATTGGTGGGCTAATTACAATGATTAATTAATCCCACAATTAATTACAATATCAATTGTATATTTAATGTGATGTAGTGTTGTTTGACTCTCTGCAACTTAAACATAAATTGGAAAAACGTGTTTAATAAAATTGACTGAACAAAATGCTTAACGTTGTCTGGAGATATATCAATAAACATTAGTGTATGATTTAACTTATAATACATTATTGGTTGATTTGGAAAATTGTAATTCAACTTTTTTTGTAACCATGTTTTCCCAACCTTATTGTCGGTGCATAATGTTCCCATTTCAACCCACTTTCCTGCCCAGAGTAATTCTCAAGTAAACAGCTAGTAAACACATAATTATAGCCATTAAAAAATTGTAACCGCTAAGCCTTGTTTTTCATAGTTTACATGCTGGCTATTCTTTATAGCGGTGGTAGAACAGACTTAAAATCGTGACCGCTAAGCCTTGTTTTCCATAGTTTGCATGCAGGCTATTCTTTATAGCGGTGGTAGAACAGACTGAAAATCGTGACCGCTAAGCCTTGTTTTCCATAGTTTACATGCAGGCTATTCTTTATAGCGGTGGTAGAACAGACTGAAAATCGTGACCGCTAAGCCTTGTTTTCCATAGTTTACATGCAG